ACAAAATTGTTTTACAAGAGGAAGTTAAAGAACAAAAATTTCAAATGAAATGGAAAGCATTACACATATACAATAATTGGTGAAGGTAATAAATCAGTTCAGTTGCAATGGAAAAGAAAACAAGCTAAACTTTAAATATCCATGATCCCTACATAATTATACAATAATTATTTCCTGGATATCAACTGTGAATTAAAAATAAATAAATAAATAAATAAATAAATAAAAGACAGAGATGAAAAAAAAAAAAGACAGCTGACAAGCTCTATTTTGGCTCTTCAATGAGGACAGATTTTTTTCTTTAGGCAGGAACAGGTCTGCCTGCATGAGAAAATGGTACTGCCTAGTGGGAGTTAGTTTTAGTGGAATAAGTGAGATAACAGAAGAAAAAAATGCCTGTAGAGGCCTCTGTGCATCTGAGGCATCCAGAACTACAAATCTTTCAGACCCAGATCTTTTATCACTGAAACCTTGTGTGATCATTCAGTCTCCAAGCAGCCTGTTCTTGCTAGTTTGAGTTTGATAAATGAAACAAGTGGCTACATGGTTGCCTTTGACAAAAGGTGTACAAAAGCTTGGCAGGTTTGCAGAGATTTCAGCAATTCCAACTAGAAAAATGGAAGAAACATTTCTCATGACACAGCAAGCCACAACCATTGAAGTCAATGCAATTCAACTTCCCTGAGTCTGTGAGATCTCCTGGACTTTCAAGGAGAATGACCCTGAACCACTGCTAACTTTTTTTTCTTGTGACACTGTTTGGAATCAGCTTCTCTAAGCTCCAACCAACAAAAATCATTGCAACAGTAATATACTGCATAGAGATAGTACACTTACTAATATGTACTAATGCTAATACAATACACACAGAGCTATTTTCCTTTTAAACACTGCTGTACTCCTGGTGCTTTTTATTATAGAGAAGATTGCATTCCTTTTCTGGAATCTCTTACAAAGCTTTTTGCTGCCATGCTCTGTCCTCTGCTGTCCTCGGCCAGAAAATTTGTACTGTGCAGTTAACCCCAGCAAAAAATGTTATCTACTGTATTAAACACAGGCACAAAACCATCACAGCTCAACATTTTTTATAAACTAAGCTGAAATAAAATTACAGACTTAATTTGAAGATGTCTCAGATCCTAATCTCTGAAATCTGAGTCTCTGAGACCTCCAAAGTCCAGGCTTTGCCTTTTCTGGCAGTACTTCTACTGACCACTACAAATACCAGCACATCTTCAGAATGTCAGCAAAGATGTCCTATTAAATATTTTCCTCTGTCTTTTTCCTCCTTGATAAACAGCAAAATCTACTTTAATGCACCAATTTTCATTAACAAGCTTTACAAATACCAGCAGAATTTACAAAAGAAGCACAGTGATTGGCAGTAAAGCCCATACAGATGTATTTCTCTGTCCACGAAGGCAGCAGCTGTTTGTTGAATTTAGGATAATGAAATCTTCCTTGACATACAGACTGTGAACAACAACATATTGGCTTACCCAATGTGTATCAACAATTCTTGTTAGTTTTCATGGCTTCGAGGCTTATCAGACCATTTTTCTGCATTTCCCTGAACAAAGTTTGAGCCACAGATGTTGGAAAGAAAACAGACGGCAAATACACTGGAGAGTATAGTAAATCCTCAGGCTCTGGTGTAGACTTTGTCTATGTCCACTAAAACTGTATTCAAACAGGGAACAAAGTAAATAGCAAGCAGACTTTGTCCAAAAACAGCTCTAAATGCTGTCAGTATAAGAGATGTTAATGATAGATACATCATCCCCTTGTTGGCTTCCACAGTTCTACAAGGGGATTCAAGTCCTTAGCAGTTTTCTCACTAAGGGAAATATTTTCATAAGCTGGGTGACCTTCAATACTGAGTAGCAGGAACTGCTCTGCTAATATGGTTGCATGTAGGGAAACATGGCTTGAAGGTTATAGGCAAGTTCGAAGAGCATAACAATTAATACCTGAGAAGATTTAACTGTGCAGCATCTGACTTTGTAGCTAACAGGCTCCTTCTATATTTATTTTTGTTCCACATATTTTGGGAATAGGAATTTGCAGAGTCTAACTTACATGTTGACTTGTCAAAATCTTATTTGATTATCATTCTTGATCCATTCAAGTTGGACCTGAGCCATGGATGATGTCTAATCATACCAGAACCAGATTTTGTATCTGCTTATTGGTTTGCTTTCTGAAGTTGACCTTTTTTTGTTAACTGGTTCAATATGTGATAACTGCTCCTTGAAAACCTTCTCAACCACATTTTTCAAAATTCTTTAAGATTTGAGGTTGAGGCTTTCAGTATAATATATTTTATTATTAAAATAAAGAATTAAGGAATATAACATACCTGTGGCAGATATTAGGTCTATTTTATGATCAAATGAAACTGCACAGCATTTCACTAATTATTCAGAGTAAGAAATAGAATGTAGATCTGATAAAGGTCTGTAATTTTTTTACTAATAAGCATTCAAAGACTATTTCTGAACAAAACAGGATTATTTAGTCCTAATCACAACATTCAACTTAACTGCCAAAGATGATTTGAGAGCAAAGGAATTTTGTAAATATTACAAATTATTTCAGAAAATCACCTGGGGATAAATTCAGGGATGGAAGAAAGCTAGATTTTTTGAAGTTTTATTTACGTATATAATTATAAATACTTGAATTTGTGATTATATTTCCCCATGTAACTTGGAAATTTACACATGCTTTTGACTTGTAAAGTTTTGGATTACTGTACCCTTTGTAAGCAAAAATATTTGTCTCTAGAGCAATGATCTTCTACACACAATCCCAGTTCTGAATTTTTATCTTTAGCTCCTCCTGATCCATTTTCTCTGCATCTGGCAGATGCATAACAAACACTCAGTTCCTACAAGCGAGTTTATCCCATTCTTTTTCAAGGAATATATTTTTCATCCCTTCTCTGCACTTCATAAAATATTTTTAGTCCATCATGATTCTTCTGAGGATATCGCAAGTGATAAAATAGAGACAGATAATGAGTTCTATTCATTTGTGCTACACCTCTGATAAGAGACCAGAGGTTACGAATTTTCCATGGTAACTGGAATGGCTGAAAGTTCTTTTGACAATAACATGATGAAATTCAATTTTAGTCGTTTAGGAATAAATATGTTACTTTAAGAAACGTTACTCCAAAGTTACCCATTCTTTAACTTCTTACACTAGATGAGAAGACCAGTGTTCTACTTGAGGGGCCCTGACTCCAGAAAAAAAATTAATTTTCTGGTTTGGGCATAAGGTAAAAATGTCAATTTCCAAGAAATACCTGGCAGACATTTCCAGTGTCTATAGCTTTGGTAGGTAGAGTTCCAGAGAAAGGAGAGGTTTGTTGGGGATGAAGGCCTACAGCCATACATAAATATATATATTTGGGAAAAATCTGTGTAGTTTATAAAAATGTTCACTGTTGCTTTGATTACCTTCAAATGCTTGAAGTTAATTGCCTGACTAAATTCATTCGAAGCATTTTATGCTATCCAATTGCTGGATTGGACTGTTGTGAGAATGCATCGCATGCATATTTTAAGGTCCTTCCTGCCATCTGCTATCTCTGTGTGCTTATGCAGGGCAGTAATTGATTCTTTTTAATGTACAAAATTTCTGTAGTTTTGGAGAAGAGCTGCAACTTAGAGAAAAAACATTGAGCTCCATTTCAGTGTCTAGTGTAATCACAGATCAACTGACCTGTGACATTTTCCAAAACCTCTCTGGATGGACTTACCTTTTCATGAGTTAGTGCAAAAACAGAAAGTAAGTGGGACTGAAAAAATTACTATTTTGAAGAGAGGGAAGTGTGGACACAGTGTATCTGCTACAGAATGGCATTCTATTCCTTTTGGCATGGTAAACTTAATTAAATAGTTACATTTTAAAATCTTTATGAGAATCTTAATTATTAATGACATCAACAGGCTGAAAAAAATGTAGGTTAGGTGTGGGGAGAGTTTGGCTCTGCAAAGACATTACTTAAAAGCAATTTTTTTTTGCATGACTGAGCACATGTGCACACAGACTAGATAGTCACACTTTACAATGAGGTTACAGTTATAAATTATTCATAAAGTGTTGGTAAACACTGTAGGCTATTACAGAATCCACAGAGTCCATAGTTTTGTTATAACTATGTGTAACACCCTCAAGTAATGTGCAACCACATATAATTTATGAAAGTAATATTCGTAGTATTGTTTATGATGTTTATTAATAATTTATTAATCCTTTATGAACTATTTATAAATGCAATCGTAATGGAAAGCATGGCTGACTAGTTACTCCATCATGCTAGCTGCATGGGCGTTAAAGGTTGCATGCCTCTGCCCCTCCTTTTTAACAAACCAAGCAATCTTTAGACAAGGCAACTCTCACTAGCTATTTCTTTACATGCTCCTAGAAAATTAGAAATCTGAGAGAGGCATTGCAAAGAGGTTTTGCCTGTAAGAAAATGCACAGAATCCTTTTTTACATCTCCTCCGATATTTCAGTAGAGCTACCACGGGTCCATTAGACAAAACTCCTTGCAGATGATCCACGCATATCAAAGTCTGTGAAATTTTGATTCCTTAGGATTCTTGTATAGTTTGGTTACATCAGACCAACAAAATAGGCCATATTTCTAGGAACTGAGCAGAGGAGAGCTGCTGTGTAGGTCTGCATATCCATCAATCCTTATGGTATCTACAAGAAAATGTAACAGAAATTACTACTATAGTCTAGGCTACCATAATGTCCAGGAACAGATCCTGTCTTGCAGGACTATTTTTCTGCTCCAAAGAATTTCTGCCTGCCAAGGTACAGCTACTTCTGCTTGCAGCAGGCAAGCTCCACTAACTTTCATGTGACAGTGCAGTTTTATTGTTGGTCTTTGCTTCTTTATGCATGCTGTGAAATCTCTTGCTGAGGCATTTGAGATCAGCGTATCATCCCCAAGCATTAATTCTTCACTTATTCTTTTGCAGGAAACAGATCTCATTCTGACTTTTAATATCTCAATGCATCGTTCTTGGTGGATGGAGAATGGGCCGGGCTGCACCGTGACCTCAGTGACCCCAGCACCAGACTGGGCACCAGAGGATCATCGTTATATCACTGTCTCGGGGTGTTTTCTTGAATATCAGTACATAGAGGTGGCTCACAGTTCTCTTCAGATCTTCCTTGCAGTAAGTGTTTACAGATAACTTCACTTCCACCATCTTTTCTGGATTTCTCCTCATTACCAGAATAGCATAGGGTTTTGACATTCATTCACAAACCCTGTCTCTAAGTCTTAGAGTTATGTAATTCTGTTCTCTTTCAGCTAGTTCAAGATACCTGCATGCAAAAAGCTCCAACATACATATTTATTATTGTTCTAAGAGCTGCTGACATGACACACTCTGCTTTCCTGTCCTCCATTTTGACCACTGAAGGTCCCACAAACCACTGATAGCAGGTTACATTCAAATGACACTATAGTATATAACTTGTGACATAACAAGTTACAGCTATTGTTGTGAAAGTCAATTTGAATATAAAAGAAAATCTAACAGTAAAAATAGATTCACTGATCAGTTTGCAGGACTCAAGTCTCATCAGTTTGTCTTTAAGCATATTTATCCACAGGCACAGCAGTAAAATGGGTAAGGTTTTCCCCAAAAATGTTGCATATAAATGAAAAACAAAACCAGAAATCTTAAAATCTTTTTTAGGAGTATAAGAATCCACTGCTACACTGCAGAAAATTTCAAAGGAATGAAAGCCACTTGTTTTGGGGGAACAACATATACTGTGGCCCACAGTTATCCAAAAATGTGAGCAGCTTTTCCATCCGTCTATTCCCCAGCATTTGTTATCACTCAAGTTTATCTCATGGAATTATGGCTTCATAGAATCATTTTGGTTGGAAAAGACCTCTAAGATCATCATGTCCAACCCTCAACCCAGCACTGCCAAGTTCAATGGTAAACCTGTACCTAGTGCCACATCTACACATCTTTTAAATACCTCCAGGGAAGGTGACCGAACCATTGACCCAGGCAGCCTGTTCCAATGCTTGACAACCCTTTTGGCAAAGGTATTTTTCTTAATATCCAACCTAAACTTTCCCTGGTGAAAGCTTGATTCTGCCCTGACACAAGCCAGGATGCCATTGGCCTTCTTGACCACCTGGACACACTGCTGGCTTATGTTCAGCCAGCTATTGACCAGCACCCCAAGGTCCCTTTCTGTCTATCTGCTCTTCAGCCGCTCTACCTGTAGCACTGTCTGGGGTTGTTGTGACCCAAGTGCAGGACCCAGCACTTGGCCTTGTTGAGCCACATGACACTGGCCTCAGCCCATCAATCCAGCCTGTTCAGATCCCTCTGTAGAGCCTTCTTACCTTCAAGCCATCAAAAGGAGATAACCAGGATAATTTTTCTTTTTTTTTTTTTTAATTTAATGAATGATTTACAAGAAACTTAAGGAATGTATAATTCAAGATTAGTTCTGTTCCTGATGCAATAACATTTTTAGTGTTTCTATGTTTAAATAGAGCTGTGTTTCTAGACTCATTCTTTTCAAGTCAGGGTAATGGTTCAAAATAACAAACCACTGGTAATCTGCTAGCTATAGCCAACTACATCTACATTATATTTTCATTTGTGTTACTCTAAATGTGATTATCGTGAGAACTGCTTGCATGGGTCAGTTTTCCAAATCTGGTGTTTGACTACTGTTTGGATCACTTTTGCATTCCCAGTTGTGGGCATGGGGTTCTTTTTCTAATAGAAATGCTAGTGTAAATGCACTATCATATGAAATGTTATGAGAAACAGAGGAATGGTACTGCTCAGTGGTATATAACATAAAGGAAGAAGAGCAGATGCTGTTTGGTTTCCAGCAAACTAGCTTCAACAAACCCAAGCATTAGATCAGACCTATCTCCATTTAGTGGAAAGAAATTATTCTTTCCCTTCAGTTTTCTTTTATGGACACTTACATAGAAATTGTACTTTACTTGTAAACCTAAATTTCAACCTATGAATTTGATACTTGTTTTCTATTTATATTTGTGTATGTTCATGACAATGATCATGCTAATGCTGTCCTTGGCTTTTGCATGGACTGGTGGCACTACGGCATGTTTTTAAGGATGCTTTCTACTGCCCACAGACAAGAATTACAAAGTTATCCGGCTTCATTAAGGACCATTTATATCAGCCTTTGTAAACGTTATACTGAGTTTATTTTGTACTGCTTGGCTGTAAGCTCACAAGTAATGCAGCTACAGAAGGTTAGGCTTCATATAGACGTGGTAATTGCAGTGGAAAGTGGAAATAATATGACAGCTAAGATAAAAACTATAAAGCCTTCATGGTTTGTACTTTCTAAAAAGCAAGTCATAAGGTGGGCTGTGAAATATTTCAAAGATTGCAGACAGATATTATGCTGATGAGGTGCAAAAAAACTCATAGTCTCCAAGAGAACTTCTCTCCCCAGAGAAATGTGTCCCAGAAGCAAACAGCAAGAGATTGTGCATCATAAAAATACTGCTGCCAATTTTGTGTAAGTAAGCACAGATTTTAGATTTTTAAGAGTGAAATTTTGGAGAGTTTTCATTTCTCCTACTTCTTAAACAAAGTAGCAATTAAGACAACCAGAAGGTTACATAATCCCAAAAGTCAGGGGAGTCCCCAGTGTGCATAGTGATGGCATTCATTTTGTATTACCAGCCTTAGAATAGTAGAGAGGTAGATGTGATGATGCACAGATATTTTGCCAGCTTCACCCGAGGAGTATATTTTGTTCAGGTTTAAAAAATAAATGGAAAAAAATTGCTAGTTTAATTTACACTGAAGTAACAGAAAATTCAGTTTGATGGTCTCTATACATCAACCAGCAGAATGCTCATGGTTTAGAAAAACTTCAAAATGGGAAAAAATTATTTGAGATCTAATGTGTGGAAGAAAATGCTCTGATAAATAAAGGATTACCCCAGTCTGGGTATTTATCATTTACGTATGTAAAGCAGGGCTGGAATAATCCACAGTGATAAAAAGGACAGCAAAACTGCCACAATCACTTCTTTGTCCCATGACATAGAGCACTTAGTGCTGGTGGTGATGCTATTGGAAGACTGCAGCCCCTATAGAGCCTAACAATGTATCAGTTCTTGTATCACAGATGTAAAAAAAAAAATGATGACATAATGCACATTTATGTCTGTCTTATAGCCATTCCTACATCAGCACATTGCATCTTGCTCAGTTGATGTCTGATTTTTTTTTTCCATGTTTATGGGAATCTATTTTGAAAAGCTTCTACTGCTTCTTTACTCAGTTATTGTGGTAGTTGCCTCTCTGAAGTGAATCAGCACCAAAATCTCAGTGCAACACACCATGTTAAGTCAATTTTTACTCTGTTCTCCATATCCATACCTCTCACTTGGTTCTTTTGAGACTACGTCACATTGCTATCACTTTTAGCTCTGCATATTGCCATCTTCCAGCAATTAAAAAGAGAAAGGGATTCAGAGTGAACACAAGGCAGGTGAATCTCTTTCATTTTTAAGTACAGCTTTGCAGGCTTGCAGTGTTGCAAAATAAACAAACATATTTTGTGGGCATGTCCTGCAGCACACACATGTATGGAACTGAACAGAACTGCTTTCTGTGAAACCCTGGGCTCTGGGAAAAACTATGGAGAGGTCCAGAAAGGCCAGTGGTGTCCTAGGGTGCATCATAAAGAGTGTGGTCAGCAGGTTGGGAAAGATGATTCTCCCCCTCTCCTTGGGCCTAGTGAGACCATATCTGGAGCATTGTGTTTGGTTCTGGTCTCCACAGTTTGAGAAAGACAAGGAGCTATGGGAGAGGGTCCAACAGAAGGCCACAAAGATGATTAGGGCTCTGGAACTTCTCTCTTATGAAGAGAGAGTCTGAGGGAGCTGGATCTGTTTAGTCTAAAGAAGAGAAGACTGAGGGGGGATCTCAGTAGTACACATAAATATCTCAAAGGTGGGAGTCAAGAGAGTAGTGCCAGACTCTTCTCAGTGGTGCCCAGTGAGAGGAGGAGGAGTAATGGCCATAAACTAAAACAGAAGAAGTTCCACCTCAACATGAAGAACTTCTTTATACTGAGGCTGGCAGAGTGCTGGCTCTGACCAGGGAGGTTATGGATTCTCCCTCTCCGGAGAAACTCAAAACCCGCTTGGACACAGTCCTGGGTAACCTGCTCTGGGCGACCCTGCCTTAGGAGGAAGGTTGGATTAGATGATGTCCAGAGGTTCCTTCAAACCTCTGTTTGAATTCTCTGAAACCTCTGTTTTTCTATGGAACAACTCCCTCATTTCCTGCCCTCTCCAATTCTTGGTGAATATCATAGCTGAATCTGCAAAGATGAGATCTTAGCTTCATCACACTTTAACAGCAACAGTAATTTAATGCTTTGCTGATACATGCAGAAAAAACGCACCACTTCAGCCACAGCTAAAACTGTTTTATTGAACAAAACTAACTCTTAATGTAGCCTATGCTCACATACTGGGCAAAACTCTCCACTCAACTGTTCTCTCCCAGGGAAGTCTCATTTACAGAGCTACAACATCTTGAGACTTGGCCTATTCAGTATGCTCTGCAAGGACCACAACTCTGCCTGTCCATGATGCCTACAAATTACCAAAATGAACTGTTCTAGTGATGGCTTGACTTGTATACCTATATGCTTCAGACAATAAAACATACTTATGTGCTTAATGGTTATTGATTCTTGTTGCTTACATTAGAGAAGCTATTTCATTTTCAGGCCTACTGGGTTATCAAGGATAGATATACTTAAATTACTGATCTCTGGAGAGAATTCTTCCAGGTAAAGAATTAGGTCAGTGATACTAATGGGGATTTGATTTGCAACTATTTGAGTTTCTTTCTGTATAGTATTTACAGAGTGGGGGCTGAATGATAGTTCCCACCCACTCCTAAACAATAGGAGGTATAGCTGTCACTTCACCATGAAGAGGGCAGCACTTGGGAGGGACACAGTGCAGGTTATACACCCCTGCTAACCTTGGTGTGTAATGTCAGGGCTTAAGACTGTCATTGGCTCTGTGTATAAATAACATTTGTATTCCAGCCTTTCAGTTATACTGCTGAAAAAGAGTCATAAGCTCATAGTTTCACAAGCACCCACACGTATCAATGTCTAA